AAATTACAACTGCGTTTTCATGCATACAACATTAAATAAGTGAAAAATATCACAATTTTGGAATTAGGATGTTCATAAAAATAAATCGAGGTCAATGCATATTAATACATTTTATTCAACATTAGGAGAGTCAAGTGTCGAAAAACTTTATTGATGGGCATCCAACTTCCGCATATTGTTTTTTTTTTTCATGAAAAAACTTTAATGTAGTGGTGCTCCTTTTTGATGTATGACCCTGTACAGTGTACATACATAATGACTGAATTAATTGTCGTGTGTTCTAGGAGTGGATTTGAATATTAGTCTCGATATTAGTGTTGAAAAAAATAATCATTGTCTGAATCATGACACTCTACTTGAACAAAAGAGAGTAAAGTAGGTACCTGATCAATTGTTTATAACTTTTTGGAAAAGAGCAGTTTGGTATGATGTTTCATCCTTTGGGAAACCATGTAACTTTATGTTCTATGAAATATTTGAGGTGTTCTTGCAGTTTATATATACACAACGGTTTCTTCCACTAGGAACTGCTGCATATTTCACTTTCTGCTCACTCATTATACTGTTTGGAGTTGAACAAGAAACAGCAACAAGCACAACTCAAAACACAATCTCAACTTCGATCATAACTCAATCCACTATCAGTATTCACAGATCTTTGCACTACTTGCTCAAGACTGATATAGAAGTGATTCCATTTTCTGAATTCCTTTTATTCAAAGGTGGGGTAATTAAATGGCGTTATTTAAACGATTAAAGTTGATTGGAACACATGCTATTAAAACAACCTTTCTTAGGTGATCTGTTTACAAATGATATTTTAACTGAGTACCTCACCTGAATATAGAATTTATTTCCTTCTTGTCTGTGAACAAACAAATTATCGATTTTGAAACTGATGAGCAAATAAAATGCATAATGAACAAACGCTTTTATCAGTCACAGTGCTGGAATCGACGAGAAAGACTCTCGTCTGCCTCGTGCAGGAATGTGGAAAACATGCCGAAAATCCCGAGAGCTTGCGCACTAGTGAGACTGTCCCTTTAAACTTTGCGCTTTTGTCATCTCTCTCTAATTTTGTGTGCCTTGTCTGACTGTCTTATCTGTAAGGTTTGTTAATCTGTGATTTGGTTTAGGTCCCCGAACGTTCAGGTTAGGAATCCGTTCAACCCGAGTAAGTTTCCGAAAACGCCTAATGACTATAAATTCCTTACGACTGCGCCAAATTCCATCATTTACCTGATGTATAGTGGTCCCGGCTGCGTGGGGTCCAGTCCGGTGAAGTAGACCGATTGGAAGGGATTGCGACCGCCCACCATCTTGACCGCCTCCCGTTCGTCCTGCTGGACGCAGTCCGGCGCTCGGACGAAGAAGTTCGGGTAGAAAGCTCCGGCTGTGATGATCTACCACAAATACCAAGTCAATGTTATTATTATTATTAGAGATGGGTTTATGCATGGCGCTTTCATTTACGCCCGGCATTTTGATTAAATGCGCCCGGGCGATTTCCGGGCACATTAAATTTGTGTTTTTTTTGTTGGAAATAGATGGGAAATACAGTGAGCTTTCATTTCATACCAGATACTAATAACATTCCTGTACGGCAATTTTAATGAAATGGTCAAGTTGTCGGTAATTCTAATTTAGAAAGTATCTTTTGTCCACGCAGAAATGATCTTACAAATCAACTAATCTATGTGTTACTCACTTTCCCTATCTTTTTCCTTTCTTCCTTCTCGCTCTCTACTTTTTTCCTCTCCCTCTTGGTTCCTATCATTTTCTTTCAAAATATCGTTTCATTACATTTAAGTTATCATCTGCTTCTCAAATTTATTTATTCAATTTCACTGGCACTGGTGGAAAAACAGGGGTGGATTGACTGAACCAGTTATAGCCATTTATCTACTTGAATTCTGATATACCCTGTATTATTTATATATTTTGTGGATAATAAATGTATTATTATTATCATTATATTATTAAGATTAGGTGTTTCACATGAATCAGTGTTACATTTCTTGAAACTTATGACTTGCGACTATAAGACTTGCGATTACGATGTTTTGGCGTCTTCAATATACGATGAATTAAAGGAAAAAATTCTCAAAGTTCAAGGTTTTCCAGAGTCATATACATATTTCGAGATATATTTTCCTAGAAATGGCTGGAAAGGCTCATAACCACCGAATTTCGATTTACCTTGATGATGAGAGGCTTCTCGTCGTGCTTGAGATGGATCTGTCCCGGTATGGACTTGATGTTCAGAAAGTCGAGCCGTTGTTTGATCTCGATCACCAACAGGTTCCACTCCCTCAGCCCTTTCAGGCTCACCAGGTTCATGGAGCACCATCTGAGCTCGCTCTGGAAGCTGTCGAAGTGGTTCTCCCTTTTGCACGATTGCCACACCTAACAACCACCATGACAATATGATACAGGGTACATCTAAGTTACACCGAGAAAATTTAAGGGTTGATACCTTGTAATATTTTAGGAAATAAAGTTCATATAAACATGTGTCCTAACTTGCTGTGTTTTCGAGATACAGGGTATCAATATTTCCATGAAAAATCGTTTTTCTGCTACTGCTATGAAAAGTAGCGCATTTCTCATAGCTTACTTAGTTTCAAAACCATGTATTGCCCATACTGTGAGAAATATTTTTTCTCCCGGCACTTTGCCAACACCACATACATTTCCATGGAGAACCAACAAAAATCGACCAAAACTTGGCTGCTGTTCAGCTTTGAATACTTGTCACAACTGTCAGAAGAAGTTTTTAAATTCTTTAGGGTAATTCTCATTAGTGCTTAGACATCGCATTTTCCATCAAATATAATTTGAACAATTCATGAGAAATAATATGATGTATATACCGAGATGTGACGATTTTGATAAATACACCGCCAGAGACAGAGATAATGGAAAAAGCTGCGAAAGTTGGATTTGTTTCCAGAGATTTCAAGAAAAAAGTATGAATTGGCATATTGGTACGAAAAATTTATGGAATCTAAAAAAATACAGAAATAACATATTTTTCAGAAAGTGTACTTTTTTGAAATACTTTGAGGAACTAGGAAAGGCGTCTACTCACTCACGTCTGGTCACAATATTCAATGTGGAATAGTGCCACATTATAAAATGAATACCAATAAGTCAAAGTCGTATTCAATAAAAAAGCGTACAAGTATTAAAAAGAGAGGATTTCGGGATCCTAGTTCCTAGTTGTGTAAAACTGGCTCAGCCAATGCTTTGTGTTTTCGAGAACCTATGACAACTTTACTGTCAACATTTGGTGAACAATCATTCCCGATAGCCCGTTTTATGCAGGATAGGATGACGTTAATTTCTCTCTGTAATATACTTGTACGCTTTTTTTTAATGCGACTGTACATTACTCGTATTCTTTGAATAAGTGCAGTTGTAGAAAAAGTATAGTGTGCAACATGTGGGGAAAAGCATTTTTCCCACTTGTTGCACAATATACTATTTTATATTGTTTACTGGAATGTCTTTTCATCAATTTCAATAAAACGTTCTGGTTTTGTTTGTAACAGTGGGTAAATTGATCGATATTTATGGTGAATTGTACGTCACCGGTTTTTCTGAGTTTCATATTTTTATTACATTAAACTATTTAAGTACCAACTTTTGTATCCTTTGTGTGATTTTTGTATCTAGCTCAGTTTTTGAGGAAACAATAAAAATTCGATTTGACTCAAAATTTTAATGTAGGTGTATTCAAGACCATTGAGATTACTTAATAATCCCAATTAGAATCATTCTGAAATTTTGGGGCTTTGTCATTCTCCAACCATACTGAAATTTGGCACCATGAAAGCTTCTACAGGGGGGTTATAAAAAAACGATACTCCCAACTTCAACATCCTGTATCTCAAAAACGAAGTAAGGCACATGTTTATATGAACATTATTTGCTAAAATATCACAAAGAATCACTCCTTGAATTTTTTCGGTTTATTTAAATACACTCTGTCTGTCTGTCTGTCTTTTGTGGATGGATGGATGGATCTATTGTCACTATGAAAGCTCTGATTTCCAATTCTAATTGAAATCTAAATCCGTACTCGTTTCTAAAAGGACGTTTATAACACTTGTTACATATTATACTAATTTTCTACTCACATAAAGTAAAATGGCATTTAGCGTACGGATCTGTACCACGCTAAATGATCGATTAATCACGGATTGTCGATCAGTGATTTATTCAAAATATCAAACACGTTACCATGGCAACACGATTTCTTGAACACATTACCATGGCAACGCAGTTCATTAAACACAGCTTCAGTAATTTGAGACAAGTGGCCTGTATTAACTGTCAACTGTTATTTTCAAATGTTGTATCAAAATTATTCAAACAATATAGGTTTGTATCAGAATTCTTCATTAAAAATTTATGAAGAATGTAGACGAAAGTGAAATCGAAGAGGATGTTCTGGTACTTGCATATCTCCAAGAAGTATCAAAATGAAGCATCCATCTTTGAGAACAGTTCATTTATTCTGTGCTGAGCATGACAATAAACGTGAAACAAAGGTTAGTAAGCAATGGACTGGACACATCTACAACCAATATCACTTATTTATACGTGTCTCGCTGGTTGCATGCATCAGTTGCATCTATTATGTTCTCAATTCCCATTCCTTTCGAATTATTTTGTAGGTGAGGAGGAATAGCAGGTATGTTAATGTAATTTTCGGAGTTCGTAGAAAAAGCATAGTATGTAACGCGTTTATAAACTCTTCTAGACACTCGTTTATTAAACACTCGCTCCGCTCTGTTCCGCTCGTGCTTAGAATACTCGTTTCTAAAAGGACGTTTATAACACTTGTTACATAATGTACTATTCTATATTTTTTTCTTTCAGACAATGGTGTGATTTTTGATATTAAATGTTTTGAGACCATTCAGAAGTGAAAAATGAGTCAGATAAATATAATGCCTCAGAAGTTTCATCATGTATGACTTTTACCTGACAGTTTGACGTTACCATCCTTTCAAAAATAAAAGTGCATATTATCATAACATCACAATAAACTCATTAAAAACACAAAATAGAAGAAAATACCAATGAATAAGTGACTGAACTGAAAATTTGTCAAGCAGTTGCATCAAGTGAGAAAATATTTGACAATTTGACTGAGAGATTTGAGAAGTGCCTACATCTTTCGAACCATTCCCATTACGTGATATAATGAGATTCGTGTTTTTTATGATCATTTTTCTACAGTAAAAACACAAGAGCTTTTTTAATCGGATAAATTTCTATTGGTAACGACATACGGTCTCGCAATTTAGTCTAAAGTCAGTTTTTCGAGAGAAATAACTGATGGAAAATGTTTTTTTATATATATATAGATAGATAGATAGATAGATAGAATTTATTGGTTCCATAAAATCCACATAAAAGGATGTAGAACATGTCAAAACAAGTACATATTTTATGCATAGATGTTTGAATCTTTACACTTACATTTGGATACATATCATTGAAGACGAAATGAACAGCTAAATGTCACCATATATAACAATACTAATAATAACAACAATAATGATAATGACAACAATACTAATAATAACAATACTAATAATAGAAATAAAAACGACTTGTATATAATGAAATTCAGAATTGATATCTTGATGTTATAAATCAATTAATCTGTATATGTTCATTGAAAAATTCATTCAGACTATAAAAGGCTTTAGAGACAAGTATTGTTTTCATCTTTTTTTTAATATGTCTGTCATCGAGGTTCCTTATTGTTATAGGAATTTTATTCCATATTTTCATTATGGAGAATTTCACATTTTTCTGGACATAACTGTATTTTGTTTTATCTACCCTTAGATCATGTTTATTTCTTGTGGTATAGGTATGACTTATTACATGCTCATCAAAAAGTTCTGGGTTTCTTTTTACAAACATGATAGCTTCTAAAATGTACAGACTGATTACGGTTAAAATACCTTTTTGAATAAAAATATCTTTACAACTAACTCTGGGTCCCATTCCGAATATATTTCGCAGACACTTTTTTTGAATTCCTAATATACGACTAACATGTGTTGAATTTCCCCAAAAAATTATTCCATATGCCATTCTTGAGTGCACAAATGAGTGATAAGCAATTATTGCCGTGTCGACATCCACATTATTTGAGAGAATCTTCAGTGCATAGCTATATTTTGCCATATTTTTTGCTGTATTATTTATGTGCTCATACCAATCCAGTTTTTGATCCAAGATCACCCCAAGAAAAGATACACTTGATTCCGATGATATGTTTTGATTGTTGAACTGAACTAGGAGATTATGTCTTGTTCTATTGAAGAAAATCAATTTAGTTTTATTTATGTTTAAAAGGAGATTGTTTTCTGTAAACCAGGTCTCGAGTTTCTCTAATGCATCTTTAATTTGTCTTTCACATTCATCTCTTGTTTGTTCTTGAAATATCAGAGATGTATCATCTGCATAAAGAACCATTTCCTGTGCCACAACTCCCGGCAGCTCATTAACATATAAAATGTACAACAAGGGACCCAAAATGGAGCCTTGCGGTACCCCCCTCAGAACAGATTTTTCATTAGATTTTATCAGAACACCTGCATCATTATATTCCGCTGTTCTCTGTTTCCTATTAGTGAGATAGGATTTGATCAAATGCAATTGAACTCCCCTTATTCCATAATGCTCCAGTTTGTTGCAGAGTATATCATGTTCAACTGAGTCAAAAGCTTTGGAGAGGTCCAGACACAATGCTGCTGTTTCTTTATCGTTATCGATAGAGTTCAATATGTTTGATAGTGCCTGATAAACAGCCTTTATTGTGCTTTTCCCCTTCCTAAATCCATTTTGTTCAGACGTCAATATATTATTCATGTCTAAGAATGTTGATAACCTCTCGTATATAATTTTTTCGAATATTTTGTTCACATTTGACAGTAGTGAGACTGGTCTATAGTTTGCCATATCGCCCTTATCCCCTTTTTTGTAGATAGACCTAATATATCCAATTTTCAAAGACTCAGGATATATTCCTGTACAGAAGGATAAATTTATGATATGTTCCAAAGGAATCGATATCAAGTTAGCAGATGCTTTAATGAGTTTAACTGGAATTTCATCTTCTCCCACTGAATTTTTATTTTTTAGTTTACTGATTATTTTTACTATTTCGGGTCGGTTTGTTAATTGAAATCTACAACTGTTATTGCAGTAAGTTATTTTACCATAATCTACCTCACCACTCTTGATGTCTGGTGCTGCACTTATATAAAAGTCATTTATTCTATTCAAAATGTCATATGACGATGATTGGGGATCTGATTTGCTGAGATTATGAAGAATATTTTTTTTTTCATTATTAGAGGTATTATTAGTTATTCTTTTGATCAGCGACCAAGTCGCTTTCGATTTGTTTTCTGCATTGAAAATGAAATCCTTATTGTCCAAGCGCTTAGCCTTCCTTGTAACTTGTCTCAAAATGCTACAATATTTTTTATAATAATTCTTTGTCACCTGACCTCGCAGCATTTCGTTACGCAGATAAAGTTTCTTGGTACAAGATATTCTGATACCGTTTGTTACCCAAGACTTTGAAGTACTTACATTTTTGCATTTTTTGAGGGGAAATAATCTGTTCATCAGCGTTCGAAGTTTGAATATGAAAATATTATAAGCTCTATTTACCTCAGTACAATTCAATATTTCGTCCCAATTTTCGCGTTCTAGTTCTTCAGAGAAATATCTCAACCTGGCTTCCGAGAACACTCTCCTTACCCTAAACTGATTCTCCATTTTGCTTTGGTTTTCTTCGAGCTCTAGGAACTGACCATAATGATCTGACAGAGCCAGATCAATAACTTCACAGCATTTATACTCCTTAAAATCAATGAATATATTATCCAAGAGTGTGCTTGAATTTTCAGTTACTCTGGTGGGTTCAAAAATCAATTGTTGCATATTGTGACTAGATAGCGTGTCTAATAATTGCTCAGATATTGGGTTTTTTACTAGAAGATTCACATTGAAGTCTCCGCATACCACTGTTTTACAATGTTTGTACTTATTATTAACATAGTCTAATATTTCATCAATTTTTGTGATGAAATTTTCAAAATTACCAAGATTTGTACGATAAATGCATATGATGATATAACTGGATCCACTGCTAACCTCTGACTTAACAGCAGCACACTCAATTTCACCTTCCACACTCATCTCCTCTATTTTATGTACACGCTCACACTCGTATTCTTCTGATACGAAAATGCATGCTCCTCCATGAATTGCGTTTTTTCTTGAGAAACAGGACTTCATTTTATATCCGCTTAGTTTAGTGAACGATTCTTCCTCTGGTTTCAGCCAGTGCTCTGAAATACATATAACTTGCGGCTTATAATCCATTGCTTCGAAATTTGCCTCAATATCTAATATTTTGTTACGAATGCATTGAATATTTTGGTGCAAAATTTTGATGCTCCTTTTTTTTATCTCCGTACTTCCGATCTCATTCCTTATATTGTTTTTTTTCTCTATTCTATCATTCCTTGAGTCCGCATTTTCTATACTGACACCATCTGTTAAATGATGCCTATTACTATCTAGTTTTTTTGACTCTGTGGTACTTTAATTATTTTCGGAATATCTTTAAAGTATTTGATTCTCAGATTTTCCTCCCCTTTCTGCATTCTTTGCTTCATTTCTTCTCTTAGGATTTTATATTCATTAATTTGCATAGCTGTTTTGTCGAAGCCGATAGCCAAAGTTTTATATTCAGGAATTTTTATCAACTCCTTTGCCTTGAAGAATACATTTCTTGTTTCTGTGTAAGAAGACAGCGTTGCTCTAATTGGTCTTGGTCGATCAGTATTTGGCTTGCCCACTCTTCGTACTTTTATTTGTGTGCAATTTATCTCTGGACATACACTCTGGATAATTTCTCCTACCTTGACAACATCGCTCTCATTTTCATCCTCGGGCTCAGTTTCAATACATCCGAATATCATTATATTATTTTTTCTTCTTTCTCTTTCATTTATTTCATTCACAGCATCTAGTGGATTCTGATTATGTTTTACACCGACTCTAGACTCCGACATCTGCTGTTTCAATAGATCAATCTCTTGCCTCAGCTCATTATTAATTACCAACTGTGCTTCATACATTTTCATCATCTCTGAGTATTTGTTGTCCATTTTATTCAACTTGTCCATCACATCGAAGAGAGTAATTTCTTTTTGTTGATCAGGTGTAGTAGAGCTAGTAGATTTCGCCTCCCCTTCATCACATGTTATGCAGAACCACCTTTTTCCTTTGGTATTCTTCAGTTCCTTTTGGAAGTTGTTCAAGCTTGAAATACTCATTCCAATACATTTTGTGTGAAACCATTTTGAACATTTGGCGCACCCAATTGCATAGGAATTGTTTGTGGTTGCTTTACACACCCCACATGCCATCGCCATCTGGTTCCCATGAAAAGGGATATCCTGCAATGTTCAGAGAATATCGTGAGAACCAAGGGAAATGAGGTAGAAATTGGTGTTCTTCTTAAATTTCTGGAGGTTATATGCCTCGGAGAACACCTTCCTTGGCAATGTGTTCCAGAGCCTCGCTGTTCGTTGGATGAACGAGTCTTTGGAAAGAGATGTTCTGCAGGTCTTCAAAATGACCACGAAGTGGTGCGAAGCCTCAACTCGACGGGTTAATCTATCCAATTAAAAAAATGTTCGTGTGTTTTTTGACAAGATAAATCAACGACAATATACAAATAAACAATAATGATCAACTTTATTGATGATTCCGTTTTCCGTGTAACTGGTAGTTTGCGGAATTGATTGTCTCATATTTTCGTGGTTTCTTCAGACGTATTTCCTATAACGGCTCATCTTGCTAATTTACGCGTGAACCATACCCATCAATCAAACTTGACACGACAGAAATTGGAGTGGCATCATGCGCAAATAGCTACTAGATCAAAGGAGCAGGCAAATTATCGGCGATGAAAAAGGTGCATTCTTATTTATCGATGTCAAAATGACTCACGTCGTCGTCAAATAGCGTTTTCCGTGTAGGAGTTGATTTATCGCCACAAAATTGTGGAGGCTGAATTTGTTCATTGTATTTTATTATGGTTCACTACTAGCATGGCGTCAGCCCACTGTGATAATTTGTGTAGTGAATTAGGCTTTCAAGGATGTATTACGTTTCTCTCCCCGAGGGTCTCGTTAATAATTCTTCAAGTTTTTCTATGAGCGAATGCGCATGCGTCCATAATGTATCACGTGATTCACTATGACCAATTTGATAATGAGGTTTGGGAATGGTTCGAAAACTATAGGCTCTCGTGAAATTTCGACTTCCTTTTTTGTTTTAAGACTATAAAACCATGCAAGAATTATCGGAAAGCTAATATAATAATTGAAAATCTGAACCTTCAAAAATGTCGACTATATACGATACATACCTGATACAAATTCAGCAGAGCAATAAGATCACTAAAAGACCCGTCAGCCCATAACAATAGCTTCTTGTAAGCATTGAATCTCTGTTGAAATGGTATTGAGAAAATGTTCTGAATTGAACATCCAGCAGCTGGAAAAAAGCAATGTTGAGTCAAATCCAAATCATAGAAACCATCCATATTTCTCAGGACCGATTTTGTGAATTTTTTTTGACTTAGGCTGTTGATTTTATATAAATTGTTGCTCTCAATATGTATTGCAAAGGTTAGTATATCGATTCTGTGACTCTTTTGTTACTCCTTAACAATGTCCATAATTTCTTTTGAGTACTTCCAAATACATCAGTTTTGTGTCAGATGATGGCCAGTGGCCGAACCTAGTTACATTTCTTATAGAAAAAATATTTTCATGGTCGACAGACTTTGTGACTTTTATTGCTTTTTCTTCTTCAAATCCAAATAATTAACATCAGATCCATAAGTCCAAGATGGTTCTTTATTCGTAAAGCTTGGTAGAAGATGAAACTATCCACATAAGTATATTCTTACCCATAATGATAGCTTCTTCTAGACAACTGAACAGATGCCCGAGCACGATCAGTTTCGACAGATGAACGTCGATAGGCAGAGAAGCCATCACAGTTCCCAAAAACGTTATGTCCCCGTCGGATGCGGAAAATTTGCCCCTGCAAGTTTGCAGCAACCCACCGATCTGTAAAACACGTGAACCGTCATCCAATCAGGAATGCACCTTTATGCCATACGCCATATCAATTGGTTATGGACGTGAGACCCTCCTGTAGAATCACAGCCTTCTTAAACTTACAAGCCGTGCTGGAGAGATTTGGCAACAATGGCAGTAAGTCATGAGGTCACCGTTGTCAGTCATTATTTTTGTGAGGCTGTTAATGCTGCACTAATTGAATATCAACATGAGTAATACCTTCACAGCCTTCTTCCAAACCGTGCTGAAGAAACTCTTTGTCAGTACTGTCGGAGAATATCAACACGGTGAACTTTTTCAATGCTTCAAAGGTGAAATGATGTGTCATTCATGTGATATTTTGTTGAAAGCCAGTGAATAATCACGTTAATGTGTTAATGGTCTATCACAACCATGAGATATCATCTTGAATAAATATTTTTCCGCCATACCAGTAATTGAAAATGGACGTTAGCAATACCTTCTGTTTCCAAGCCGTGCCAAGAGACTTGACAACGATGGTAATAAGTCGTTCATCAGCTGTAAAGACGTACGGTAGGAGAATATCAACAAGTTGTTTCCTTTTCATGATTTCAAAAGTGAATTGAATTGATGTGTTATTTATGTGGAATAGTTCTGAAAATCAGTGACTAGTTATGTTTATATGTTGATATAGAATGCATCTCTTTCTGCAATACTAGTTGATGTTAGAAATAGGTACCTTGTAGTCACAGCCTTCTTGAATTCTCAAGCCGCGCTAAAGAAACTTGGCAACAATGGCGATGAGTCCTAGGATTTCCGTTGTTTGCCGAAAGGAAGATTGCTCGAGGAATATCAACATGGTGAATTTTACATGATTTCAAAAGTGGACTGATGTGTTAGCTATTCAAAATATTGTTCAGTGAGCGAACAATGCGTCATTCGAGATTGAACACTCACTTTTTTGTAGAATGTAGAATTCTCGCATGCGACAAAATATCTCACCATTTGAGAATAGAGTCCCTGGACATGATTTTTTCTTAATAGTTTATGAAATCATATTTCAATTATGACGTTCATAAAATTTCATATGGAAAAAGTCGTCTCCACTACTTTATTACTGATGTAAATCAATCAATGGAACATGTTTCGAACTTATAAAAGTCCATCTTCAACCGTTTTTAGAAGTTAATGGAGGTGAAACATTATGTTAAATTGGATGCCGATGTATATGATCATAATATCAATATCGTGGTTATATTGGTGAATCGAGGGGTTGAGAAAAAACGGGTTTTCATTAAAAATGAAGGGCCTCGTATCCTACGAACGCGCACCAAAAGTAAAGTCCCAGAAGGGAAACTTGACGAGCACTCAAAGATGCTCATAAAAACCATATTAGGATGCAAACAGGAAAAAACCAAAGTCCCGTACCCTTGGGAAAGAGCACTAAAAATCCAAAAATCAATTGAGATTGATGGGGCCAAAAGCCAAAAAACGTGTAAAATCCAACCTGTGGTTAGAAACTTTCTATAAGTTCGAAACATGTCGTTGATTGATTTACATCAGTAATAAAGTAGTAGAGATGACTTTGAGCTCTCCTTCTTCCTTTTGAAAAATTCCACTCCACTTTGAGCAAACATAGACTACCAAAGATTCATAAAATGTATTGTCACAATCGAACAATTTTGAATGAAATAGCGCTGAACGACTATGGTGCTCTTGCCACAATGCAAGGTGTGTAACTTGATTGAAATTTAAAGACTCAAAAACACTAACAGTTGTCATTTCTGTGTCCGAATTCTTATCTAACAATACCATCCATTGACTCTAATCCCATAGTTTTCCAGTATTTCTTACCTCTTTCAGACTGAGTATGGTCAACTCAATATTCTTCAAATTCGGTGGGTTCATAGCGAGAGCTAGTATCTGCTGAGGTGAGTCGTTCAAATTAAGCATCTTGGCCTGAAGGACCGTAGTCTCCAACGGTGCTCGTATTATCTCGGGAATACTCTTCCGCGGCAATTTATACTGAAAACCAATATAATTTGAAACACTATCGCCTTCTCATCAAAAGTAGACAGCACGTGGTGACGCAGGGGTATAACATGCAAAGGCAAAGCTCTAAGGTAGGATCCAAAGATCGCAACACACACTGTATGGCGCTGCCATCTATAGTCACACGTACAGACCCCTACGTCTACAAGTAAACCACTCTGCTGACAGATGGCACTACCTGACATACTTGAGTGGAATTTTTCCACCACCTATTCATGTTATACCCTGCGTCTTCGAAATGGGTGATATACCCGAAGCGTAGAGTTGTCCCAGTTGTCAGCAGACCGAGAGCAGCTGATGAGACCTGGTGGGTCGAAACAGTACTGTCTCGCTCCTGCTGACAATTGGGGCAACTCTGTTCATCCTAGATCTCTTAGTTATGAGATTTAGCAGTTGAGCACGTGGTGAATTATAGGAAAAGAATATAACAATCAGAATCGAGGAATCAAAGAATTTGCTTGCATTCTTCTGAACATCATAAAATATGAGTTTTCCCTCGAAAATTAGGATACTGATATGGCATGATTTTATACTCAGGTTTTATTGTGGTTTCAGACATTTGACAAGAATTCAAACGTCAAGTCCTCTGAAATGAATTCAGCGCAATGTAGCCAAGTCTCCAACATTCACATGATATTTTGTTCTAGAGAATAAGAAATATTTCGACATGTTGGTTGCCCGGAAGATTCAAGAATGAACTATAATATCATGGGTTCCTCCTATTATATTTCATTCAACGGCAAAACTCCAACATCTCTTTGATAACCTGATTATAATTGGTGACTTGACAACCTTGTTTCATGAGTGGAAACGGAAGATTATCTGACCAATAACTAAATAGCATAAAAACTGACGTCACCAGGGGCATCCGGAGGGGGAGGCAAGAGGGAGGGGCGCTCGCCCTCCCCCTATCGCCTGGTCTCAACTCATCAGATATTTTCTAAACAAGATACATTTGCATTATTCAATTCCTATTCTGATGATCGCTTATTATAGTGACTTTCTGAGACTTTGTTCAATCAGTATTCATCGACATCTTATAGATATATAAAGAGTTATTTATATCAACGAAGTTATTGATAAATTTGCTCAAGACTCTATAAGAATGCCATTTTTGTTTTAACAAGATTATGATTATCATCACGTGCAATTTTTTATTGTAATTTTGGCTGTAAACAGAATACCTATGTGATGTCAATTCAATTAATATTCTTTTTTTTTTATTCCATGTTCTATGTAGAATAATTGTAGATTATATATCGAGAGAGTAAAGTGCATGATTTTTCCAGAGGTGGTTTTGTAGCCAGAGGATGCTACAATGCACTAAGGGAAGAAAGAACTCACTTCCGAGGTTTATATACCATTTTTGCAGAACTCGACGATTTTAATTGAAAGAATCTTACGATAAAATCAATTATTGTCAATATGATAATGAAAATCTGATCACAATAATCACAAAATGAAGTTTGATTATCATGACTAGGTACCGATCAAGAAGAGTAGCCATATTGCTTTTTGTGAACATCCAAAAAGTGTGGTAGCATATTTTCTTAATTGATTTCCAAAGTTTTTTTCAATAAAATATTGCAGGCATTTGTGGAAGAACTATTGAAGAAGCTGCTGCAAACATAGTGGTAGATTTATTGCCAGAAAAATCCCGGAAATTTTTTCAGCCCAGAGAGTGCCTACTCTGTATACCCTGTGTTCCCGCTTTTGTCGGTGTAAAATCGCTTATAGGTCGTGCAAAAACAGTTTTTTTTATATGTTCTGAATAATGTACATTATTTATTGTGACTTGCCCCTCCCTGAGATTATTTCTGCGGACGCACCTGGACGTCACCATTTATTCGACGTATCCGCCAAATGGCGGCCATGACAATTTTGAATAACGCATAGACACATTCTTTTAGGTGAAAAGAGCGTGAGCAGTGTTGCAAAAATTAATTTAGGTTCATAATGACACAGTGCAGCAGTCGAATGCCAATAATTCATTATCATTGGCGGCTCGGTGGTCGAGAGCGTGAAGGCGCTGAGTGCGTATGGGGACTCCCACTGAGACATAGGTTCGAATCCTAGTTAGACCATGGATGTATGTACATATTTGTGTTTGTATGTATACCTAGCCCCGCACAAGTTTCGACTTATGAGGCGTTTGGTCCCAGTGCTGGGACCAACGAGGTATGCAATTGCAAAAAAAATCCACTCGCCCATTTCAAAAAAATCTAGTAGAATGAAACGATGGACTTACTTGGTAAAAGGACCTCGGCACCAGCCGATACACTCTGCCGTTTCCAATTCGGCCCACCCTACCGGCCCTTTGGTCGCAATTGACGTGCGACGCCCATTCTAGTTTGAGGCTCATGTATTTGGTGATCGGATCGACGGTCATCACTTTGGTCATGCAAAAATCGATCACTGAAAAAAAGAACAATCGCGATGAAGGATGTACAATTCTCGATTTTTTGATGTTATTTAAATTTGAGTAAGAACGGGATATTCATCAGTGCTGTGATAATAGCTATTTATATATCAAGGGAGGAAAGGTATCCATTTCCTCCCGCGTGTGATGTTTGATGCACGACGCGTAGCGGAGGGCATTAAACACACATGGGAGGAAATGAACGTTTGCTCCCATGATATACAGGGTTTCCCAAAAGAACCGGAACGGTCGAATATTTCAGCAACGACTTGACATAAAAATATGAAATTTGGTATACGGGGGTTATCAGTAGTGCCAAATCTGAAAATAATATTTACAACGTTGCCAGATTTACAGTTTTTCCTATGGATCCCTCAACTTTATTTTTTCAAATATAATGCTATATAGTGTGACCCATTTAAAATGGAATCACCCCTGTATCCTACGTAATCGTTGGGTAAGGATCCTGAAATTTGCTGGAGCGAGAGATATACCAATTATGCACTCTATGACCAAGTGGGGTCATCTTCAGTGATATACACTGCTCGCCAACAGCCATGAAACTACCCCAATTTCCGGAAAATGATATTAGGATTCAAAATAGGTCAAATATCACTTCAGATTTGGAATCAGGACGCCCAATTTACTAACTATTCAAATTTTTCCTGGAAAATTTTCAGTCCGGAAAAATGAAATTTTGTCGCATTTTTTATGGAAGCACCCCCGTTGCTCGGGTAATTGACTTCATCTTTGGACTTTCTCTTCCTCCGGCAAATTTCAGAACCCTACCTCAATAATTACGTGAGATACGGGGGCGCTTCCATAAAAAATGCGACAAAATTTCATTTTTCCGAACTGAAAATTTTCCAGGAAAAATTTGAATAGTTAGTAAATTGGGCATCCTGATTCCAAATCTGAAGTGATTTTCAACCTATTTTGACTCCTAATATCATTTTCCGGAAATTGGGGTGGTTTCATGGCTGTTGGCGAGCAGTGTATATCACTGAAGATGACCCCACTTGGTCATAGAGTGCATTTTTGGTATATCTCTCGCTCCAGCAAACTTCAGGATCCTTACCCAACGATTACGTAAGATACAGGGGTGGTTCCATTAGAAGTGGGTCACACTGTATATTTTCAGCGCATTCGATTTGTCATGTTCGAATTACTATGACCCTATAATATCAAATTTTAATTCCCTTAATTTTTGTTGATATGGAAATTCAACATTTCGTTAAAAAATATCACGAAACTTCAATATCTCGAGAAATCGTAGCGTTATGACAATGAAAACTGATTTATTAGTAATTTGTTGGCAAGTCTCATCTAAAAATATCATTTACAACGTTGTCAAATTTACATGTTATTTTCACGAAATCTTCCTAAGTATTTATTTAAACTTCTTCACTTAACAAGAAAACCATTTTATCTTGATAATAAACAGATGGTTGACAACGATAACAATAAAAGTTAATTAGCTATTTCCAAAGGCCACTGTATACATCTTGATTGTAACAATATTTATAAAGTTCTGTTAGTGTTATGAGTACGTATGCAGATATTTAGCTAGTTATAAAAGATTTTATGTTGAAAACCTAATTGTCTTGAGCTATAAGGGGCTTCAAAGCGAGCGAAGCCATCGGTAAAAGCTAGTTGTTAACATATGCAATTAGTAGTCCATTTGAACGAAGCGAGATCCTGATTGGTCCAAGCCAGACACCTCAGCCTTACCGTAGTAGGAGTCCTGCACGGTGATGGAACTCTCGGCGATGTTGGTCGACAGGATGATCTTCCTGCTGCCGGCCTTGGCGGGCTTGAACGCCCTCGCCTGCTCGTCATTGGGCAGCGACGAGTGCAACGGGATGATCTCCCACTTGGTTTTGGGGTCGCCCGTGGTACTTGCCGAGCTGTCGCGGAGCAACTCTTCGTAGTGCTTCAGCAGTCGCTTGTGCGCCTCCTGTGTACGTTCATTCATTACAGATTTCAGAGAGAAAACAACTCTTAAACAATTTGACTTCTTTTTTATATCACTTGAATCAACTGTACACGATGAACTCTATAACGTGACTGCTGCTTAGTTTGATTCATCATTCTAATGACTAATTATCACAGAACTCAAAGACCTAGAAGGCCAATATCGTTCTATTCGAGTGTTCCCTAACGTGGCTCGCACGACAAATGTGAGCATGCGCAGTAAAGACGCGACCATGCCAGGGGCGGATTCAGAATTATTTGATAACCAGGATTTCGTGGCTTTCTTGAAGGAGCAGAACATAGTGCACAATCCATATATTTGTTATGATGAATTCCTTCATGTTATTAGGAATAATGATTCGATGTATTTACTATCAACTGAAGTGTTCATTAGATAGGAATAAGCGAGCTGATATACAAGGTGGTTCAGGCTATATTATCATTAATTTATCATGGTTCTCCAAAATATAAAGCGGCACGGATATTATAATTTTTTTGAAAAAGATCTTCCAGGGAGATACATCCCTCTGAAGTCCAGTTACAAAAATCTTGTTCTTGCTATAATTCTTAGGGCATAAATAGTTATTTATTATACAAGGGAAAAAAGACGTAGATTTTAGCTCTAGGTTGTGTTGTCTCCCGACGCGTAGCGGAGGGAAACAAAAAACCGTGAGCTAAAATCTAATATTTTCCCGTGTATAATACACTATTTTTTTCTGTGACAGGAAAATGGACCCATCAATATTGAGAATATATTATATTAAAATCAGAACATTATCGAAGTGATCGAAATTTGAAGTTTTTTACAGGTATATTTTTGCTGGCATCTTTATCATTCTTTTGAAGTAATCAAATACCTGATGTCACTGACTATAGTAGATACTAGAGTCACTGTATGGTATCAGTTTGATAAGAGAGCGGACACAGCTGAACTTTCGTCCTTTCCTATTTTCTATAATAATACAATGGTTTAAGTGAATAAAAGAAAAAGACATATATTCTGCTCTTTGTCTTTTCAATTTCCCTAGTAGCGCCTGATTGTCAGATACGTTTTTAGAGGTTATATTTTCTGTTAAATCAATCATAGCCGTAGATGGACAATGAATATAGGGTACAAACACCCACTTCAATTCATAGTGATACCTACACTACTAGCAGAGCAAGATTTATATAAATGAAAAAAATGCATGTAGCAACATTTTAATATCAGAGAATATATACATATGGATAAACTTATAGCTATAATTCCTTATTTTATGTGAAACTGTACTCCAGTGTAGTATTCCTGAGACAACTTTAAGAAATAAAGTCTACATAAGCTTGTGTCTGGAAATGCTTCATTTCGGAGATACAGGGTGTTGAAATACAGAGAACAAGTCATTTTTCGATAAAGATGTCGTGGGAAAAAATAATTTATTTTGACGAGACCTACCAAATACTTGGTTTTGTTAAGTTCTCAGCAACTTCACTTAGCGCCCTAGGAGCTAAGTAACATGGATCGATATAGAAAATATCTCCAAAACGATAACCTCCAGCGTAATTAAGGCCCTTATAATAATTCCCTTGATACATAAATATCTATTCACTTTTCACTGTTGAATTTTCAATTCGCGGTCAGCACCAAAAACGCCATTCAATAATATATCACGTTGTAGTTTACTTGCTTTTCTGAGTTTCGTTTTCAAATTTTCAATTTCATAATGTAATTTTGCGATCGTTTTCCCCTTTTCCATGATTATTTTGTTTTGTATTTTGTGTGATGATGATAATGGAATCTTGTTCTTGAAATCGTTTGCTTTGTAAATAAAATAATAAATAAAATATTTATTAATCCTTTAAACTATCAGTAACAATAGATAGGATATGTCAATATTACATGTCATAAATGGAACAGTGGTAAATTGTAAATTGATGGAACAGCAGATTCTCTCAAACAGATTTTGAAATCTTCTGTTTGAAAATGGGCCTAAAATATAGATTCATTCTAATCAGATGCTGTTATAAGAAGTGAATTTCAATGAGTACCTCACAAATTTCGCTCGTCTTCAAATTGATTTTCCACCCAGTCCGTTTCATATCTTCCTTCCATAAGCGAATGCTTGATATTTGATTTGGAAAATCGAATAAATGATATCCATTTGTTTCATAATTGGCACAATTTATTATACAGCAAGTCATTTCCATAGCTGCTTTTTTCTCGAAAGTATAATAATTATGAAATTTTATTTCAATTCTGACGTTCATAAAATGAATTGTCAAATTCAAACAATTTTGAATGAAAAATCGCGGGACGACTATGATGCTCTTGTCACAATGCAAGGTGTGTAACTTGATAAATCTAAACATTCAAAAACCCTAACCGCTGTCATTTCTGTGTCCGAACTCTTATCAAACTAATACCATCCAGTGACTCTAGTAGATACTTACTTTCAAATCATAATGTACCAACTGGATTTCTTCGTTTTTCGCTGCATTTTTTGTGCATTATACCACAGCACAATATGATGGCATTCGCGAATTAATAATTAGCCGAAAAACACGATTCGTATGCCAACACAATTGTGAAAAACTATTTCAATCACTTGTACACACATAAGAAAAGTGAGGTTGTGTTTCAATGTTTCCCCTCCAGGGTCATGTCATTCCAATCAATTTTTTTAGGGTTATGCCTCCTGTCACAGCTTGTCATAGTGTCCGTACTCTTATTACAGTAAAACTGTTGAATACATACAGGAACTCTTTCTACTGTTGATGAATATAAACGAAAAATTAGCGATGGACTTACCTCTATCTCGTTGATACCGGGCAGGAACACCAACACGCTGCCGATGATTTTCTGATTGGTGAGGGGATTCGAGGCATCCAACTTCCAAAGGATGGCTACCAGTAGGGTGAACACCTTCCACATATCCTCGGAGATTTCAGGTTTGTCGAGCTCGAAATTATTTCCATCCTACATGACACATGAGTATTATTTCATTACGAGTCTGGAAATAGGGATTTTTCCGTGCGCGTGTAACCGTCCGGGAAGTGCTCAGTTCCCGGACGCGTTTTCTTTGAGAAAGTAGCATATTTCGGCCTAGTCCGAGAAGTACGTACTTCTCGGTCTCTTTGTCTACAAGAGATTTTTCTTCTGACAATAAAGGCTATATTCCGAATTCAGCTGGTCAGTACTGTCAGTAGATCCACTGAATCTGTTGAAAATCTGTGTTCCGAAATATAAAATCAAAAATACAGTGCTGTAATTCGGGACACGTTTTCATGGTTTTCATTAGTTGATCAGCTGGTGAAATTTGTCAGTCTGTATTTTATCTGGACTAGATATTTAATATTTAATATTTAACATGGAAGTGCAATCGATTCTTGTAGCCTCCATAGTTTCTACGATTATTGACGATGACGATTCAGATTCAGGCTCGAGTGATAAAGAATACTTGGAGATTTTGTTGCCATTAATTTCGAATGATGCACGAGATTGAGAATTGAAAGATTCATAGAAAATGATGATGAATTTAGGAGACATTTCAGGTTTATTTAGTTATTTATTTAGCCAATGCTGCTTCTTCTTTCGTTAGCTCTACTACTTCATATTCACTATTATTCTCAGTACTTATCATATCAATAACAGGTATTTTCTGATATTGAGAATAAATAATATATCATTAACAACGGAAATAGATGTTACATTCCTTCCCCATCTGAAATAATGACAGTTCACTGAAGCCACACTACCTTTTGATAGTCAGCAATTTCAGCAGAATGTTGAGTCGAAATATTTGGAATGAATAGTATGTCTACTCACAAGCATCTGTCACTTTCAGTGAATTTTTTTGATTTCGGAATGAAAAATCAGCAGATTCAGTATTGTCAGTTGAATTCGGGATATAGCCAAAGAATATTCTGAGGCTATATTCCGAATTCAACTGGTCAGTACTGTAAGTTGATCCACTGACTCTGCTGAAAATCTGTGTTCCGAAATATAAAATCAAAAATTTACTACTATAATTCGGGACACGTTTTCATGGTTTTCATCAGTGGTAGTTTCTCGTTTATCTGAACTAGATGTTTAGCCTCCTACTTGTTATAAATTTTGGAAATTTAATAATTAACATGGAAGAGAAATCGATTCTTGTATCCTCTATAGTTTCTACGATTGTTGACGATGGCGATTCACGCTCGAGTGATGAAGAATACTTGGACATTTTGTTGCCATAAATTTCTCATGATGCACCAGATTGAGAATTGAGATTCATGAAAATCGCAATATGCCTTAATTATGATGAATTTTAGGAGACATTCCAGGGTTTATTTAGCCAATGCTGCTCCTTTCCTTACCTGCTCTACTACTTCATACTCCAGGTATTTTCTGATATTGAGAATCATTTCATTAATAACGAAAATGAATGTTACATTCCATCCCCCTCTAGAATATGACAGTTCGCTGAAGCCACACTACCTTTTGATACTCAGCAATTTCAGCAGAACGTTGAGTCGAAATATTTGGAATGAATAGTATGTCTGCTGACAAGCATCTGTCACTTCCAGTGAATTTTTTGATTTCGGAATGGAAAATCAGCAGATTCAGTACTGTCAGTTGAATTCGGAATATAGCCTGATTCTGATCTGATTCTGATATGTGCAGATGATAATTAGCATAGCAGCGAAATATCGGCTGACAGCTATTTGTCATGAAATTAGTTGTTGTAATTTCGATTTTTGAAAGTTTGGTTGCAATAATCGCAATAAACTATCGAAAGCAACAGCGAAAGTGAGTTTGAAAATGTCCATACGAAATTTCCAATGTAACAGTTAGTAGGTAGGAATTTCAGTATTTGATACAAATGAGAATTAATAAAGCAGAAATTGTATTCTACAAAGAAATATAATATGGCAATGTGTCTCATTGATTTGTTATTCTACATGGTTGCCGAAAAAATTGTGTAAAACACGTCCAACAACAGTATTTTCCGGACTTGTTACGTAAATTACTATTCTGGACGAGTAATGAACGATATTTTGTATTACACTTCGATGAAAATTAAAATATAATAAAATATTACATAAAAAAGACACAAAAGAAACTTGGAACATTTTTATTTTCACAGCAGTGGGAATGAAAAAACTTGGAACTACTAGACCTGGATTTTACTAGTAATAAATTCGCGGTCGCTTGTGCCGCTTGCTCTAGGATATTATCGTGAATTTTAGGATTTTCTTCAGAGTTCATTTTGTCCACAGTAAACACAAGAGCTTTTTTTATCCGATACATTTCTCTTGGTAACGAGAAATATTTGCCGATCAGTAATTTCACGAGAAAAACTGAAATGAAAAGATTGCGAGACCCTAGGTCGAGCAAATTTTGTCTAATGTCAGTTTTTCGAGAGTAATAACTGATGGGAAATATTTGAGTTAATAAGGAAATTTATCCAATTAAAATAAAAAGTTCGAGTGTTTTTTGGCTAGATAAATCAACGACAATATACAAATAAACAACAATAATGATTCTTTATTAATAATTCCGTATAACTGGTAGTTTGCGGAATTTATTTTCTCATGTTTTCGTGGTTTCTTCAGACGAAATTTTCCTTAAACGGCTCATCTACTGGTGAAGCTTACCTATCAATCAAACTTCACACGACAGAAATTGGAGTGACATCAGGCGCAAATAGCTACTAGATCAAAGGAGCAGGCAGTTCATCAGCGATAAAAAAGGTGAATTCTTTTTTATCTATGTCAAAATGACTCACGTCGTCGTCAAATAACGTTTTTCGTGTAGGAAATGATTTATCGGCATAAATTTGATTGACAGAGAATAAACAATGCTGATTCGTTTCCATGGTTATTCTCAAAGTTTTTCATCTTCCATCTTACAATATTACTAATATAGATGAAAACAATTTGATTTCAAAGAAGTGTAATAAAGAACTTTTTTCAGATATCAGAGCACACTTCTCCAAGGAATTAACACACCACCAAGAATTTGCCGGAAGGTGGTGTGTCAATTTTTTGGGGGAGTATAGATACATTTTTTGAACCTATGAACCATTGTTTTGGCGATCCAATCTAACACAAATCGGTCAATTAGGCTTTTCAATTTAGATGACTATTGTTATTCACATTTGGAAACCACACTCTGCCCTGAAAAAACCTCGATCGCCCGCACCATTTTCAATTTTTGTCCGATTCTGGGGAAATCTCTACCAAATCGTAGATTCTTTTTTCAGAATATTGGAATCCATTTTAGTTCTCAAAAAAAGCTAATGACTTGATGTGTTAATTATACATTAAGTAACAATGTTCATACTTAAAATATTTCAATATGAGAAATTTCGTTTACAAACTAGACAGAAAGGTGACTGATTAATGACTTAGTTAGAAATAGAGCCATTAGAGGTCACTGGATTACTCAAAATATCGTCTATATATCGCCTACTAAATTTAGATTTGGAACAACAATGCCTCAAATGACCATTGAAATTGATAATAATGAGAACGATTATCTTTTATAAGGGAAAGGTTCAGATGGAACCAATTGAAAGAACAGACGAAACTTTAGTGTATAGAAAATAAACGTCATTTCAGAAAGTTTCAATTCTTTCAACAAATTTTAATCAAGCATTATGACACTCAGTTAATCAGATTCGGAACTCTGGAAGTCAAAAAGTAATTTTATTGTAATCCCAAATCCTAATGTTTTTGCCCGAAATTATCAGCAATTATCATTATTGTCAAGTAATTTTGCAAAGCCATTGTTATCAAAACTACATAAGCCATTGACGAGTAGTTTTGAGATGTTTTGAGTATGTCTCAGAAATTATACTTACCGATACAGGACGAACATCGATGTCTTCCAAGTAAAAAGTGGTTTTGGTATAGAAATTCTCTTTGTTGACATAAATTATGGGCGCAGCATAACTCTGACATCGGAAGTAATGCGCGAACTGTTCAGCTTCGATAGTAGCGGACATTAGTATAATCTAAAAAACAAAAAACACATCAACACAAACTCCTTGTACTGAAGAAGCCTATTTCCGAAACTGAAAACCGTGTGGAAAGGCTCTGTCACAAAATAGCGCCAGAGGTCGACAAAATAAGCTGTGATTCTTCAAAAATACTCCTACAATTTCATAGAACGTTCAAACATGTCCTAGTTTGGACTATACAGTACTTTTCTTTTATGCCCCCCCCCCCTTTTATTGTTTGAACGAGCCAACTGAAAAAATTTTAACTTCGTCTAATGAATATGATACATGAATACTTTATTTTGGTGTAAAATTGACAGATGAAAATTCCAAGATGGCAATTGGGCGCCATCTGGGAAAAAAATTAAGAAATATAGAATATAAATTCAATATCTTCACTTACTACAAAATGACGGAGCATTTGATAATGCCTGAAATTTACATGTGTCAATTTTGCTCCTAAATATAGTATTCATGCATTAATTTCATTATGAATGACCATTTCAAAAATTTAAAGGGGGGGCATTAAAGGAAAGCACTGCATATGTATTTTCACATTCATTATTCATACATTCCTGACGTTTCAAGTAAGAGCACTTCATCTTCCGGATTGCCTAATAAATTGCCTAGTTAGGACCCCGACTGATATACACTTTAAAAACCTAAAGTCTTTGAAAAACTTGACAAACCCCTTCATATACTTGGGATTGATCGGGATTGGCATTCTTCTTCTCGAATTGTTTGTATCCACTTGAAAAGTCGTGGAATTTCGAAGGACCAACCTAAATTTATGTAAACGTGTGAAGAAGTCCATATTGCTCAAAGTGGAGTGGTGTTTGAAGGAAGAATAAATCTCATAATCATCTCTACGATGTTGAGATTTATTCTTCCTTTGAATTTATGTCTACGAATTAGTTCATCTACTATTTTGATATCAAAACCATTGAGGTCATTATCTGACGTGGCGATGACGTTAAAGCTGGAGGAAGATATTCCTATTTCCTGGCATAGATTCAAAGTTAAACATGTTTTCCCCCAGTTTTAACGTCATCGCAACGTCAGATGATGATGACATTGACTACCGCGAATAAACAACACCTCTTTCAACATTGCATTTTTTTATCATGATTGGATTGATTAGTTATGTATTCAAGTGTTTAGTGTGTTAGTTTCCTTTCTAAAAACATCAACTTCCAAAAAGGTTCTGGCAATTTTGATTACAAAAACATCTAAGAACCTGAATTGACCGTTATTTTCGCATTTAAAAGTGAATTTAATAAAGGGGAAATGATAAAACGTAGTGGGAGCTTTCATTTCGATAAATACGGTTTTGGAAATTCCTAGGAAACAGATGAAGGTCACAGGATATGATTTTTCAAATATATTTTCCAATCAGACATCGTACATGACGTGAAATTTGGGACAG